CCTCCCGTGCCCTCAATAAAGGCTTTTCTCCTCTCTCTCTCTTCCCTTCTCTTTCCCTCTCCCCCTCCTTCTGTGTCTCTGTCTTTCTCTTCTCTCTGGCACCACAGAGGACCAAACAATCACAATTTCATACTGGGGTGTAGCTTGATGGTACAGTGCCTGTCTAGTGTGTGTGAGGCCCTGAGTTTAATCCCCAGACCACAACAAAGCAAGAACAAAGAACACCACTGAGCCAACATGGGAATGCATTAAATAGCATTTATTGAGCATTTATTATGTGCCAGGCCTACTTTAAACCCCAGCAGAATTGGTTTGTTTCAACCTCAGGGTCACTGCAAGGTAAGGCCTCCTACTCCACCTTCACAGGCAGTGCAGCGGCTGTGGGCAGCTGGGCAGAACCTGGGACTCCCGTACCCTGCAGACCCCAAGAACGAATGGCCTAGGGCATGCACCATAGGCCAGGGTAGGGATGCTCTTCAGGACATGGGAGGATCTTTGTTTCTCTTTTTTCTTGTTCTGCAGTGCTGGGATCAAATGCAGGGCCTCCTCAGCTGGAACTGCACCAGCCACCTCGAGCAAGAGTCTGGGTCATAGAACCCCCAGCTCTGCCCCCTTTCTGCCCTCTACTTCCTTAGCCCTGGCCAGTCCCCAGCCATGGGTCACACTGCTCTATCTCTGAGCCCCAACTGCCCCAGTGAGTGGACCAGAGGACAACACAGCAGAATCACTACATGCCTAGTGCTGCTGTGAGCAGTGGCCAGGGTCCCTTCCCCGCCTTCTACCCATGGTAGAAGGACAGGGCTTCCTGGGGGGCCGTAGCTGGCCTGTCCTGTCCCCTCTCTTGCTCAGGCAGCCTGGTGATTAGCTAGTTACTGCCGGCTGTTTCAGACTGTACTGCATGCCCACCCACGGAGCTGCAGGCAGACCTGGGGAAGGAGGCCACCTCCCGCCTCCGTCCTGGCTCTGCCAGATTAGGGTGACATCCAGTCACCCCATCAGGACTCTCTGGATAGCTGGCTCAAGGCCAGATCAGCTCCTCTCTGGGCCCCATTGGGAAGGAGTGGCATTTCAGGGCACCATGCCCCATCCCACCTTGTCCTCTTGCCACTTTTGCCACAGCTTTTCCAGGTCTCAGGCTGTGAAGGGCCAGGGGGCAGGAATGGAGCAGGAAAGCCAGCACTCACCCTCATTAGCTGGCTTCAAAACCTAGGACAGGCGGCCGCTGAGTGCCCTACTCATCCAGGCAAAGGACATTCTGTCCCAATTGGAGAACAGAGGGAGGACAAACCCACTACCACCCCAAAGGTGATCCAGGCTGGCACTTGGAGCTGGGGGACAGCTGGGAGTGTGCAGAACAGCTGGGCAACAGGTGGGAAGCCCTGGGGCAGGGACAGCCTTCCATCTGGGACTCTTCTGCAGATTCATGCCAGTGGCCAGAGAAGCGATACCTTACAGAATTCATGTGTCCATCTGCAGCCCAAAGGCCCAGGCCTCTCCACATGCAGCCAGGCCACAGTCCCCCTGTCCTCTCTGCCTCCCTGACAGTGCGTCAGGGTTCATCCCGTGTCACCTGAGGGCTGACGCCTTCTCTTCTTCTATGTCTTTCAGGGAGACCAGGGATAAGAATCAGCAGATGGGCTAGAAAGGAGCTGGGGTAGGAGGATGTTGGGAGAGGGTACAGATGGAACGTCCAGCAGCCTCCTACATGAGTGCAAGTTCATTCACACGAAACCAGGAATAGCGGTGCATGCCTATAACCTCAGTATTTGGGAGGCTGAGGTAGAAGGATCTCTGTGAATTTAAGGCCAACCTGGACTACATAAGAAGCCCTTGCCTCAAAAAACTAAAGTGTGGAATTGGGGATTTAGCTCATCAGCATAAGCGCCTGCCTTTGCAAGCATGTGAGTTCGATTGCCAATACCCAAAACAAACAAACAAAATAACCTAAAATGTGTTTCACACAGGTCTGGCTCTGTTTTTCCAGCAGATCAATAGACTTCAGATTCTTGGAGAGTCACTCCCCCAAGGCCAACCCACTTGTGATAGGGGGGAGGGAATCTAGGGCCTCATGTATACTAGGAAACTGCTCAAATGCCAAGCAACACCCCAAACCCGAGTTTAAGACCCACTTACAGATGAGGAAGGTGATGATACAGATAATCGACAGCAGTCACAGCCAGCATCAAGAGGCCCTCGCCTGCAATCCCAGCACTCCAGGAGGCTGAGGCAGGAAGACCACAAGTTTAAGCCCGGCCTAAGCAGCTGATTAATGCAACTAGACATCGATCTCAAAATTCCAAAGACAAAACAAGCTGAGGATTCATCTCAGTGCAGAGCCCTGGATTCAATGCCGAGCACTTCAAAAGAAAAAAAGAGTGGGGCCACAATTTTCTGACAGGAGGGTGGACTTGGGTCCCAAAGCTCCCTCCCACCCCCCACCCTGGCATCCTGGACAGTGCCCCTAAAGTCAAGACAAGGGGCTGGAGATTTAGCTCAGCGGCATAAGCACCTGCCTTGCAGGCAGGCGGTCGTGAGTTCGATCCCTGGTACCGATAAAAAGTTAAAAAAAAAAAAAATAGAGTCCAGACAAGTCTGGGGGTTTGCAGGGGACACAGAATTCTGCCTGGGAGAAGTTGGGGCTCTGAGGGGCAGCTCCAGAAGGAGCCTCTCAAGGTGGGGAGGAGGTCTGTGCTGCAGCATAGGGCTCAGCGGGAAGGGGGCCCCTTACCCCTGCTCTGCAGAGCCCTCAGTCGCAGGGCCTGAGGCTGCAGGGCATCCCATTCCCGCCCCCGCCCCCAGCTCGCCTGGGGTTTGGTTTGCTTGTGTGCTGCCGATGCTCCGAGGCTAAGCACTCCCCCTCTTGAAACAGGGGCTCACTAAGCGGCCCCGGTGTGACCCAAACTTGCCATCTTGCTGGCTCAGGCTCCCGCAGTGCTGGGGTTTCAGCGCCGCCCCAACCTGCCAAGCCCCCATTTTTAACTGGGTTTTCAAGATACAGCCTAGAGCTGGGTGGTCTGGTCGGGGTCCCTCCAGCCGCAACCTCCCTATACACTGGTGGAAAGCTGCCTTTCTCCAGAAGTTGTTCCTGAAGGAACCGGAAGTGGGGGGTGGCGCCTCGCTGGCCCCTAGCAACCTCCTTGGAGAAGCTGTGTGCAGGTCGTGCCCTTCTCAAAACGCCAGGCGCCCGGGCAGCTCTGGCACAGAGTGGGCACGCGCGGGGGCTGGGTTCCCCCGGCAGCACCCGGTGATACAGGGGAGGGAGAAAGGTGCAATAATCCACCCTAGGCTGGAGGGCGGGCGCACGGACCCCCTTTGCGAAGGTCCCCGCCCACCATGGCCTGCATCGCCGGGCGCACACCAAGCCCGTGCTGGGGGCTCAGGCGGGGACTCGCAGCCCTCTCCCCACCGGCTGGGTCTCCGACCCCGGCTTTCCAGGCTCCCGCCTTGGCGGGCGGCGCTCGGTTCGCGCTCAGCGACTTCCCTGCTCCCTGCAGACAGTGCAGCCCGGGGACGCCGGCAGACGTCACACGTGCATCCTCCGGCCGGCGCTCGAGTGGGGATTCCGCTGGGCCCCGGGCTCGATGCGCACGGCCACATGACTTCAATTAGCGGGCTCGGCTTCTCTCCCTCAGCCCAGCCACGCGCCGCCCAGGGGTCCCGGCTCACTTTCTCGCGTCCCAGCTCAGCCAACAAAGGAGGACAAGGCACCCTTTCCCGTCCCCTTTCCGCGGAAAAAAGCAAGATGTTGGGCCAGAAGCGCACTTCTCGTCCCACCCCCACCCCCGCCCCGGGGGAGGGGAAGATACGATTTGGTAAAGTTAATAAAGTTACGACCCAGTTAAATGCAATTAAAGGGCTAGATCTCTGGAAGATAATTAAATGCACTTTTATTATGATTATTAGCCTCTAATTTGCACGATTATCAACAAACAGGAGGTGGGAAAACAGTTAACTGGCACAGTTGTCTTTCGCCTAATCCTTTGGAATTAAACTTTTAAAATATTCCCCATGGTTGAGAGCATGGGGTGTGTGCTGGAAACCAGCAAAGGCTACGTACACCGCCCCGCAGGCGGCGAGCTAGGGAAAGTCTCGGGCTTGACGGGGAGGTGGGGAGAGACAGGCAACATCTGTGCCACATCCCGCGGCCCCGGCCTCCTCCCGGGGAAGCCACCCACCTCTCCTTCCCTTCTGTTTTCTCCGGGACGAGTTTTAAAAGCAAACTAAAAATCCCACCAACCCATCAGTACCTCCCTCCACCCCAACCCATTTTTAATGCTTTTTTGGATAGAAACAAAGGCCCCCAAACAACAATAAAAATGCACTTATAACACACAAGCCAAACCCAGCGCTGCTACCTTGGACCGAGGGAGGCGTTTCAGTCGGACGGGGAAAGAGCAGACTGCAGGGAAAGAAGGGGAGACGCAGGGTCTCAAAACTCCAGGACTTCCACCGAGTTCGAAGGCTAAAAGTTCCCAGGCAGAGGAGAGGACCGGAACTAAAGTGGGGTGCGCCTATGGGGGGGGGGGTGATCGTTGATGGAGCTGAGGGGAAAAAACTGCAGACCCCCAGGCTGCAGGTGAGGGCGCTGGACCACCTGCCTGTCCGTGGGCTCCCAGCCTCTGCCTCACTTTCTTCCCTTCGGGTAGGAGGTCTATAAGTACGTGTGTAGGACAGCACGAATGAGGCGAGGGGGGGAGTGGAAAAGGAACTAAGACAAGGAATCCAGGTCTGGATCCAAATTATCCCACAACTCCGCGGGCTCCACGCAGACAAAAGTGGCAGGGCTGGCTCTGGGCGCAGCTGGATGGAACCAGCTCGCCGCTCTTGGGTCCCCTAACTCCCCAGGAGACCCCCAGATCCCAGCACGGGGCGGTCACCGCACTCGGTCTTCAGTAGAGGAGCCCTCCAGTTCTTTTTGTTTCCTCTCTCTCCTTTTTTTCTTTTAAATAGAAAATATATAATTACATTTGCAAAGACTATTTACAGTTCTAATTACAAACCTGGCAGGGGCAAGGCCGGCTCCGGGATGGGGTCCGCCGAGGTCCCGAGTTCTCACACCGTCGTCTCCCCGCGCCGGCGCCGCGCAAGGCGCGCGTAGAACTTGCGCCATGAGTGCAGCGTCTTGCCGGACCAGATCCAGAAGCCCGACGTGATGCCCACGATGAGCGTCATGAGGTACTTGATCATATAGACCGTGAAGTCGGGTGCGGCGCGCGGCGCGTGGGGCGCGGGGCACGGGATGGCCAGGCTGCGGCAGTGCTGGCTGACCCAGGAGCGCTCCCAGCGCTCGCGGAAGGCCTGCTCGTAGAAGTAGCAGGCCAGCACGATGGTGGCCGGCACCGTGTACAGCACGCTGAACACGCCGATGCGCACCATGAGGCGCTCCAACTTCTCCGTCTTCGTGCCGTCGTGCTTCATGACCGTGCGGATGCGGAAGAGCGACACGAAGCCGGCCAGCAGGAAGGACGTGCCCACGAACAGGTACACGAAGAGCGGCGCCAGCACGAAGCCGCGCAGCGGGTCCATGCTTTGCAGCCCCACAAAGCACACACCGCTCAGCAGGTCGCCGTCCACCTGGCCCAGCGCCAGAATGGCCACGGTTTTGACGGCCGGCACGGCCCAGGCGGCCAAATGGAAATACTGCGAGTTGGCCTCGATGGCTTCGTGGCCCCACTTCATGCCTGCGGCCAGGAACCAGGTGAGCGACAGAATGACCCACCAGATGGAACTGGCCATGCTGAAGAAGTAGAGCACCATGAAGAGAAGCGTGCAGCCCTCCTTCTTGGTGCCCTGCACCACCGTGCGGTAGCCATCGTCCGAGAAGCGCTCATTGCACACGGCGCGTTCTTGGAGCACGAAACCCGCGATGTAGGCCACAGACACCATGGTGTAGCAGCCGGACAGGAACACGATGGGGCGCTCGGGGTAGCGGAAGCGCTGCATGTCCACCAGGTAGGTGGTGACGGTGAAGAAGGTAGAGGCACAGCACAGCACGGACCACGTGAGGATCCAGAGGCGCGCGAACCGCGTCTCTTCCTGCGAGAAGAAGAGCGCGCCGTCGGGGCGCGCGGGCTCGCAGGGAGCGGCGCAGTCGCGCTCGCCCAGGAAGCGGTAGCTGAGGTAAGCGGGCACGCGCAGCACGCGTGGGCAGCGGAACGGGGATGCGGGCGGCGCGGCGGGGCGCGGGCGCGGCGCGGGGGAAGCGGGCGCGGTGTCGGGCGCAGGCCCGGGCGGCGCGGTGCCGGGCGCGCCATCCTCCGAGCGGTTCTGGCCTACGCACAGCTGCTCGGCGCCGTGGCGGGGAAAGAGCTCGCAGCGAAGGCGCTCGGGCCACTGGAAGCCGAACTTGTTCATGAGCGCCTCGCAGCCCTGACGCGCGCGCTCGCAGATGGCGCGGCACGGCGGGATGGCCTGCTCCAGCACGGTGCACACGGGCGCGTACATGGCGCACAGGAAGAAGCGCAGCTCAGGCGAGCACTGCACCTTCACCAACGGGTAAAACTGGTGCACCTCGAGGCCCGCGTCCTCCTGGCTTGTGTGGCCCAGCAGGTTGGGCAGGATGGTCTGGTTGTAGGCGATGTCGGTGCACAGCGGGATGGAGATGGGCTGGCAGAAGCCGTGCTCCGGCACCGACAGGCCCCGCTCGGCGTGCGCGCGCAGCAACAGCAGCGGTAGAAGCAGCAGTGCCAGCAGCAGGCGGGGCCGCATGCTGCTCGGGAGCGCCAGCCCCGGTCCCGCCCGGCCCTGCCCGGCTCCGGCCCGTGCGAACTCGGCTTGCGCCCGCCGAGTTACAACTCTGCGCCTCCTGCCCCTCCGACTGCTGCTCCTTTCGCGGACGCCTTTGTGCCTCCTCCAGCCTCACCTCCGCCTCTAGGATCCCAATTAGTCGGTTTCAAGGAGGCCCCCGCCGGCGGCCCCGCCTACCCCCGCAGACCCCGAAATAAAGGGATCCTTGAAACCGCCCCGTCGAGTGCTCAGCTTCTGCCCTGAATGTGTCTCGGACCAATGAGATTCAAACCCGGGCCCCGCCCCGGGTTTTCATTGGTCCTTTCCCGTAATGAGACCCCCCCCCGAAACCGGACGCCCAGAACCACCCCGTCCCCCTGGGCTTTTAAAGAGACAGGCGGTAGGCCTGGACTGGGGGGCGCCGGCAGGGCCACCAGACTCTGGTGGAGCCTGGGGCCCCGGCCCCCAACTTCCTGGAAGATGCTGCCCTGCCGCGTTGCTCTGGATGTCCCCCTTCCCGTTTGAGGTTGCAAATGAAGTAAACTTAGAGTTAAAATCTTTATTAAAAAAGAACTAGTAACTTACAGACTTTTGTATCTGCGCCTCTGGCGAAACCTAAGCCGACGGTCGCCTCATCCCACGCTCAAAACTTGGGGTTCGCCTCGCCTCTCCCCAGCTCACACCCTTCCAAGACCCCCTGAAGAATGGGAGCCTATCTCTTTAAGAGGCTCTTAAAGGGGCCCGGAGCCCTTGTGTAATTGCCCCGCAGCGAGCACAAAGGAGCCCATTATGGCCTTTGTGGCGGTGGCACCTCCGAGTAACAAACTCGGGAACTCAGGCTGGGGGCGGGGTGCAGGAGCAGGGGCCCCTCCCAGTCTTCGGGATACAAAGCGAAGCTGGAGGGTGATTGGAAGTTAGTGGAATGGGCTGGTGGTGGTGGCCTGCGGAGAAGCTGCTCGGGGAGTGCGAGGGCTCCGAGGTTCTCGCGCTGGGGTCCCCCGAAAGCGGAGGGGGCCGATGTTGGCTGTTAGACGCCCCCACGGTGGTGAGGGCCGGTATGGACCCCAAGGAAAGGGGTTGAAAAGCAGAAAGTAAGTCGGGGAGCGGTTTCCTGCTTGGGCCCAGGAAACGCTCGCCTTTTAAACCGAGAAGGTTAGATGAAAGAAGAGCCAGGATGAGGACCGCAAACCCTGTGTAGGGATGGATGAGAGGGCCCTGAGTCTGGCCGGGTTCGCAAAATGTTTGCTGATTCTTTGCAACCTGAAAGCCACTGTCTGTCTCCTAGGAAGCTGCTTTTTTCCCCTGTGGGAAGAAAGTTTCCTTCAGAGTCAAAGCGACAGGCGACTTTGCCGTGGGTCCCTGGCCGCCCTGCCGGCCATCCCTGCCCAGAGCAGGGGGTAAGGGCCCTCTGGTGCTCCTGGCTCCTGGGTGTCGCTTGGCAGCCTGGCAGGGTTCCCTCCACTGGGGAGCCGGGCTTGGGGACAGGACTAGGCAACAGGAAACCAAGCAGTCACCTCACAGGCAGATGCCTGCCGCATCTTCAGTTTCCTTGCATGGCAGCCCTCAGGCCAGCCTGGGTGACAGTGTCCCTTCCCTGGCCACCCCGAGGGGGAGGTTCCGCTGGGCCTGGAAGGGCCCTCAAAACCTCCTGTGTCTGTTAGGAGCAGCTCATTTGCTCTGCACACTCCCTTCTTGGGTGACTTTGGGGTTTGGCCCTGGTTTTGATGCTGGCGGCCAGCCTGGACCCCAGCCCATTCAGCACACTTCTGCTGAGGCTGCTGCTCTCAGGCCCCTATGTGAGGGCCACAGGGGATGTGGAGGAAAATGTCAGTGTCCTTGCCTGTCAGGACTTGATGGCAGGCTTGGTGGCACAGGCTTCTCATCCCAGCATGCAGTGAGACTGAGGCAGGAGGATCACAAGTTTGAGCCCAACCTAGGCAATGTAGTGATTTAGGGAGACCCTGTCTCAAACATTAGAAAAAGTCTAGACAAATGGCCAGTGGTAAACCATGGCCCGTCATCTGGGAGGTCCTGGTTCTATACCTGCTCCTGGCAAAGATAAGGAAAGACTCAGTTTGCAGGAGTGCAGGGGTTGGGGTGGCTGCTCACCTGGGGTTCACCCAGGCCTGCACAAAAAAAGTTTAAACTTAATAAGTCATAGCCTCCCAGAGGTAAAGTAATTCTGTAGAGATCTTATGTTTGTGTAGTCTTTTTTTTTTTTTTTTAATCGGTACTAGGGATTGAACTCACGACCATGTGCCCAGGGCTCTGGAAGTCCTCTTACTTCCCCGAGCTCTCTCTCCTCCTAACTCGGTACTGAAACAAAGGGCTCCATAACAGAGCATTTGATCTCTGCTCAGTCTCCAAAAAACTGCCAAAAACCACATGTATATATATTTAGTCTTTTTGAAACAGGGTCTCACCGTGCAGTTCAGGCTGGCTTTGAACTCACTTTGTAGCCCAGGCTGGTCTCACCCTTGCAATAATCCTCCTGTCTCAGCCTCCTGAGTGCTGGGATTGCAAACTTGCACCACCATGTCTGGTTCAAAACCAGATTAAAAAATATATATAACAAATCTCTAAAATAATTTTAGAATGATACAATGAAAGTCTTAATCATAAAGGACCAAGATAAAAAGTTTCATGACAGGGGCTGGGGATTTAGCTCAGTGGCATAAGTACCTGCCTTACAAGCAGGCAGTCGTGAGTTGAATCCCTGGTACTGATTAAAAAAAAAAAAAAAATTTCATGACAGCACTCGGGAAGCTGAGGTAGGAGGATCCCTGCGAGAACCATTTGCTATCTGTGATCTAAATTATAAGAACAGCAAGTTTTGAACTGTATAGTGAAACTATCTCAAAAAGAAAAAAAAAAAAAGTTTCGTGAGTTAAATTTCATTCATTGTTGAAGACCAGGGGATAGGGTCCATTTATTGAGCTCCCACCGAAGTGTTGCCTGTGTATATATAACTGATGTGATTTTGTTTGTGAAAACTTGGTCTCCAGCTCATGTGCCAGGGGACAGAGTTGAGGTTCAAACTCTACCAGGCTTGGTTCTGAGGACTGGGTTCTGTCTCCAGCACAACCCCTGGTATCCATGAGAACTGTGTGCTTTTCAGTCCATAATAGCTAAGCTGTGGAAATGGGCTGTGCCCTTCAACAGAAAGAACTTTAGCTTGAAGAAAATCCGGTGAATATACACAATAAAGTACTACTCTGCCATGAAGAAAGATAAATCTGAGTCGTTTGTAGGAAAATGGATGGACTGTGAGACTGTGAAACAGACACAGAGGATTATCTGCTGCATGATTTCCCTTATGTGAAAAAGCCAACACATAAATAATTCAAGAACAGGGGCCAGGATGTAGCTCAATGGCACAGTGCCTGCCTGCCAAGTGTGACATCCTCATACTTTGGTGCCAAAATAATAATAATAATAATTATTGAAAGGCAAGGTAAAAGGGCAATGGTAGAAAACAGGGAGGCAGACTTTGTGGAGAAGGGGAAGGGACAAGGGAAGGGGCGGAAGGAGAGATGGCTAAGGGGCCCTATACACATTACCAGTCCCAAGAGGAATGTAATTATTACATATCACAAACACACACCAAGAAACGAGAGAGAAAAGGAAGGAAAAAGAATAGTGAGATTTTATTCCCTTAACCAATATGTACTCAGCACCATGTCCAAGGCCTGTGCTGGGGCTCCTGTGCTAGTGTGAAGGGGGAATGCATGGAGGGTGAATGGGGTGACATGGGGCGAGAGGGGCGGGAGAAACGGGGCCACAGAAACAGACAGAGACAGAGACAGAGAGAGACAGAGATAGAGATGGGGAGACAGACACACAGAGACAGGGACAAAGACAGACAGAGCCAGAGATGGAGAGACAGAGAGGCACAGAGGCAGAGACATGAAGAAGAGTGAGGGGCCAGAATGAGGTTTAGCCCCATAATTGCCTGCCTGGCCAGCACAAGGTCCTGAGTTTGAGTCCAGTGCTAAAAAAAAAAAAAAAAAAAAAAAAAAAAAAAAAAAAGGAAAAAGAAATAGACAGATCTCACTTTCTTTTGGTACTAGGAATCGAACTCAGGACTTTGTGCTGGTCAGGCAGGCGCCTATAACACTGAGCTATATCCCTGGCAAAAAGAGACAGAAAGACAGACAGAGACAGACAGGCAGGCAGAGCTGTAGGAGGCCTTGCTGGTGGTGTGCATGTCTACCTGGAGGCCAAGAGGCCCTGGCTCTGGTGGACTGGGAAGTGGCAGGGCAGGACAAGTGTCTGGGTGGCGAGGGGTGGAGGGCATTGGGTGGCCACAGGTCCTTGTTTGGGGTCAAGGTGGTGGTGAGCACCCAGGGCCCCCAGCCCCAAAGCGCATACAGCCTGCCCTGCAGGGGGCCTGCAGCTTAAGGGCCAAGGTGGCTGTACCCAGGGCCTGACAGTGCCAGCAAAGCCCAGGGTCCAGGTCAGGGGGCCCAGAGGCCAGAGAGACATTTGCATGGGGAATGCACACCACTGATGTCACAGCAGAGCAGGACCGATGTCACTAGAGGGGATGACAGCCTCAAAACCCAAATAGGCAGGCTGCAGTGTTTCGTGGCACAAGGGTGAGTACAGTTTGGCACACTCGGGATATGTCTGGTAAAGCATTGAAGAGGGGTAGATAACTAAGCTCAGGGAGGCTGAGGCAGGAGATCACAAGCAGGAACTGAGCCTGGGAGATGTAGTGACTTAGCGAGACACTGGCTCAAAACAGTAAAATAGGACTGGGAATGTACTTCCTACTAGAGCACCCCTAGCCTTGAACGTCAATACCACCCCCTCAAGGGGCAGTATGAGGCAGGTGTGGTGGCCCTCTTGGAGGCTGAGGCAGGAGGATCTCCAAGACTTCAAGGCCAACCTGGGCTGTGTAGTGATACTGTCTCAAAAAACAAAACAAAACAAAGTGTCACGGGGTCCCCCTTCCTCCCCAGGCTGGCTGCCAGGGCTTTGCACCCACCTTCATCAAAGGTGCCAGGCACCCTCCCTGAAATCCCTCCTGTGTGTGGCCTTCAAAACTGGCTTCAAAGCCGGCAAGAGACTCAGGGCTCCTGGACGCCCAGAGCCCACCTAGTCCTGGGTCTCCCAGGGCTCCTGGCTCCACCCCCGCTAGGGGCAACAGGACCGGGTAGTGTCCCCCAGCCCGTCTCTGGCCCTGCACCTCAGCCTGGGGGGCAGAGGGAACCCTGGCACGGGCAAAGGAGGCT